TTTTTTTTTTTTTTTTTTTTTTTTTTTTTTTGCTAGGACCTTTCCTGGTCCTTGCACGGCCGGGCCGTCCGGGAAAATAGGGTGACCCGGGCGGCCTGGCTGGTAGCCTAGGTTCTAATGCTAAATGTAAGGGACACTCGACCTGTTTTCCAGCAGGTTCTGCTCCCCACCAATGGAACGGAGCCATCTTGTACAGGGCCTCGTTCCCGTCTGTTCACTAACCACCACGGGACCGCAGATCTAGGCCAGATGTTAAAAAAAGAAGAGCCCTGTCATTTCACTGTTTCGCACAGAGCACTAATCGTGGCCTTTTCAGACTCTATTGGAAATGCAGTTTCTATTGGAAATCAAGCTACGCCCCTAATCGAGTTGTCAATTTTGCTGCTGCATGCAGAACTCTATTGGTGGCATTTCACACCTGTCAGGAGGGCATTTTAACACACCGTTTGAGTAAGTGCGAGCTCTGGATGAACTTGGTTTTCAAAACCGGAATGTGCCAGTGTGATTAGCTTTTGCTGCTATCCTGGGGTTTTATTCCAACAAGTTGTATTGCCCTTGTTGTTAGCTGACTGCTAAACCACTTCAAGATTAGAGTTCGAGCCCTGTTGAAGCGGACAAGATCTGAGTTCGACCCCTGTTGAAGCCGATAATGTCAAAAGGATTGTTGTGAACTCGTTTCTCACTTGGCAAAAGAAAAAGGCAAAAAAAAGAATGTTGAATTTGTCACCGTCCCTTGTTTCTCTCTTGCAGCCAGGGAAAATGGAAGATCTCAAGCAAGAATGTGAGCACACACCCAAAGCCTGCAAAAAGGGTTGGAAAAACAATTGAGACAGTTAAAAAGTTAAAAGTTAAAACTTAAAAGTTAAAACATATGCGAGATAAGAAAGTTGTTTCAACTTTTGAAGATCATTTGGCGGAGACACAATCCCAGAACCATATTTTCGCAAAATCAAAGACTGTTTTTTTTTTCTTTTTTCTTTTTGGGGAATTGCTTCTTGAATCGTAATTTGTTTTTGCGTTATATTTCTTTTCCTGTATTTTTGGTGCAGCACACCGGTTTTTAACTTTTTACTAAGTTTCTAGTGTGCAGTGCAGCAAAGAGCACCGTCAATGTGTGCGATGCATATAATTGCTATGGTGCTATCTAATCCTGTTTTACAGATGTGAGTTTCAACTCCTTGTAGCTTGAGCTTTTGAGATGTACCTCAGAGTCAAAAAAACAAAAAGAACAGAGATGTAACTCAGAGTAAAGAAAAAAAACAAAAAAAACAGAGATGTAACTGAGAGCAAAAGTGACAAAATCTGCAACAATATTCCAAAACCCACGCCTCTGTCAATAGCCAATAGCCAATTCTTGAACAGGATGGCTGTCTGTGAAGCAGGGCATATCGAAGACTGAGAACTGCAGTTGGAGCTTTTAGTACTCTTTTATTTGTTCTTAGTACTTCTTACCCTGTGTTAAAATCCGGGCCGCCCGGCGGCCCAGCTATCGTCCGGCAGGGGTCCCGGGCGGCCCGGCCGGTTGGGTCCCCCGGTTTGGCGCCGGGCGGGCCCAGCGCAATTTCGCGCGGGGGGGGGGGAAGGCCTTTTTTGCCCAGTCGTAACATCCCCGGCCCCCGTGAACACTTTGTTTCGAACTCAGGCCCAAGTGAGACTGGGGGAAGGGGTTCTTCGGCGACTGATCTCAGCACCCGACCTGCAAAGACCGGCGGCTGCGATCAGCCGCAAGAAAGCCGCAAGAAACGACCTCGTTTCCCCCCATGCTGGCCTACCGCGCCGCGTTCGAATTCGAACGTGGTATCCTCCACTGCGAAGCTGCCGTCACGAAGCCCGCCCGTCGTAGCTGCCGTCTCCAAGCCCGCCGTTGCCGCTGCTCCTCCTCGTCGAGCTGCCATCGTCGCTCCCAGTTGAGCTGCCCCGTCAAGAACGAATCCACGTCGTCGCTGCCCGTGAAGCGGCTAGCACCATCGGGGTGAAGCCGCCTTCGCCTGCTTCCTCTTCTTCTTCTTCTTCCCCTCCTCCTCCTTTCGTCTTCTTCTTCTCCTCTCCTCCTCCTCCTTTCCTCCTCTTCTTCTTCTCCTCCTCCTCCTCTGCCTCCTCCTTTCATCTTCTTCTCTTCTCCTCCTCCTCCTCCTCCTTCGTTATCCTCTTTTTTGTTTTTTTTTGGTCATCGCCATCGAAATCCGGCAGGTCCTCCTCCCCCTCCTCCTCTCCTCTTCTTTGTCTTCTTTCCTCCTCCTTTCGTCTTGTCCTTCTCTCCTCCTCCTCCTCCTCCTCTCCTCTTTTTCTTCTCTCCTCCTACTACTACTCCGCTTTCGTGTTCTCCTTCTCTCCTCCTCCTCCACGTCCTCCATCGTCCTCCATCGTCCTCCATCGTCCTCCATCGTCCTCTTTTTTTTCCTTCATCGCCATACACTGCCGGCAGGTCCTCCTCCTCCTCCTCCTCTGTCTTCTTCTCCTCCTCCTCTTCCTCCTCTCGTCTTCTCCTCCTCCTCCTCCTCCGTTCGTCTTCTTCTCTCCTCCAGCCCCTCCTGTTGTCTTCTTCTCTCCTCCTCTTCCTCCTCCTCCTTTAGTCTCCTTCTCTCCTCCTCCTCCTCCTTTCGTCTTCTTCTCTCCTCCTCCTTTCTCCTCCTCCTCCCGATTTCATGTGTTTCTTTTAGTACGCGAAGTGCCACACGGAAACAAGAAGCTGACAGCTGCCACGTGCCGGCATAGGCAAGCTGCAGTGAAATCCCGGCGCCAGTTGACGCACTGACGGGCGGGCTTCCTCTCTCTCTCTCTCTCTCTCTCTCTCTCTCTCTCTCTCTCTCTCTCTCTCTCTCTCTCTCTC